AAAAAGAAATACTTTCATCCATTCAACACTTTCACCTCACTCCCCACTAATCACTGTTTTTTGCAGAGGTGCTCAAAACACAACAGTTAGAAGCATTACGTATAAAGATACACAACATATCCCTCAAAACTGCCAATATCCCAAAAACCCTCCTTTAGAGTGCAGACATTGTACTTCCCATTTCCAGGACTAAAGTCGGGGCTATAAAAAAATAACGGTTTCCCTGAATCCCTTCACTAAATATTCCCCTGCTCACACTCCAACAGATCGTCAGGCCCCAAATACCATTCGTCTCCATTCACTCCTATCGACACGCTCATTGCATGCCTACGGGAAAAGCCCAAGCCCCCACCCTTCCTTCCAAACCTTTTCGAGGAAAAACCCCTACCCGCCCTTCCTTCTCCTACAGATTTAAATGTCTCCATGTCATTCTACTTTGATCCTTCTCTCTAAATGACCCAAACCACCTCAACAACCCTCTTCAGCCCTCTGACTAATACTTTTATTAACCCCACACCTTCTCCTAATTTCCACACTCCGAATTTTCTGTATAATATTTACACCACACATTCCCCTTAGGCAGGACATCTCCACTGCCTCCAACCGCCTCCTCGCTGTGCATTCAAAACCCCAAGCTTCACACCATTAAGAGTGTTGGTACTACTATACTTTCACACATTCCCTTCTTTGCCTCCATAGAAAACGCTTTTTGACTCCACATATACCTCAATGCACCACTTACCCTTTTTCCTTCATCAATTCTATGATTAACCTCATCCTTCATAAAATCCACCCGCCGACACGTAAAACTCCCAAGTATCTGAAAACATTCACTTCTTTCATACTCCCCCTCCCAATTTGATATCCAATTTTTCTTTATCTAAATATTTGATTACCCTCATCACCTTACTCTTTTCTATGTTCACTTTCAACTTTCTACCTTTACACACACTCCCAAACTCATCCACTACCTTTGCAATTTTTCTTTAGAATTTCCCAAAAGCACAGTATCTCGCAAAAGGTAAATGTGTCAATTCCCATTTTGTATTTGATTCCCCTAATTTAATCCCACCCCTCCCCCGAACACCCTAGAAATTTACTTCTTTTATGACCCCATCTATAAATATTTTAAAAACAATCTTTGGCGACATTACACATCCCTGTCTAAGACCTACTTTTACCGGGAAGTAGTCTCCCTCTCTTCCACACACCCTAACCTGAGCCTCACTATCCTCATAAAAACTCTTTACAGCATTTACTAACTTACCACCTATTCCATATACTTGCAACATCTGCCACATTGCTCCCCTATCCACTCTATCATATGCCTTTTCTAAATCCATAAATGCAATAAAAACTTCCCTACCTTTATCTAAATACTGTTCACATATATGCTTCAATGTATTATTATTATTATTATTATAATCAGAAAGAAGAGCTAAACCACAAGGGTTATACAGCTACATTACTATACAGTGGGTTGCTTCAATGTAAACACTTAATCTACACATCCCCTACCCACTCATAAGAACATAAGAAAGGAGGAACACTGCAGGAGGCCTGCTGGCCCATACTAGGCAGGTCCTTTACAATTCATCCCACTAACAAAACATTTGCCCAACCCAGTTTTCAATGCCACCCAAGAAATAAGCTCTGATGTGAAAGTCCCACTCAAATCCAACCCCTCCCACTCATGTACTTATCCAACCTAGATTTGAAACTACCCAAAGTCCCAGCCTCAATAACCCAACTAGGTAGACTGTTCCACTCATCAACTACCCTATTTCCAAACCAATACTTTCCTATGTCCTTTCTAAATCTAAACTTATCTAATTTAAATCCATTACTGCGGGTTCTCTCTTGGAGAGACACCCTCAAGACTTATTAATATCCCTTGATTAATACCTATCTTCCACTTTTTACACTTCGATCAGGTCTCCCCTCACTTTTCGTCTAACAAGTGAATGAAACTTAAGAGTCTTCAATCTTTCTTCATAAGGAAGATTTCTAATGCTGTGTATTAATGTAGTCATCCTACGCTGAATGTTTTCTAACGAATTTATGTCCATTTTGTAATACGGAGACCAAAAACTGAGCTGCATAATTAGGTGAGGCCTTACTAATGATTTTATAAGCTGCTGTATGACCTCTGGACTTCTTTTTGCTTACACTTTTTGATATAAATCCAGTAATCTATTTGCCTTATTACATACGCTTAGGCATTGCTGTTTTGGGTTTTAAAGGTTGCTGCTCACCCATAACCCCCAAGTCCTTTTGCAATCTGTATGGCTAAGTTCTACATCATTTAACTTATAAGTACTAGGGTTATGGGCACTCCAAGCTTCAGAACCTTGCATTAATTACATTGAACTGCATCTCCCACTTTTCTGACCAAGATTAGAGTTTTTTTTAAATCCTCCTGAAGTTCCATAACATCTACGTTTGAATCAATTATCCTACCATCTTTGTGTCATCGGGGAATTTGCTCATATCACTAGTAATTCCCTCTCAAGATCATTGATATATATTATAAAAAAACAACGGGCCCAAGATGATCCCCGTGGAAAGCCACTTGTTACAGATCCCACTCGGATTTAACCCCATTTATGGACACTCTCTGCTTCCTGTCAGTGAGCTGACTCGATCCACGAGAGCACTTTTCCCCCAATGCCATGAGCTGCCACTTTCTTTAACAGTCTTGGTGCGGGACTCTATCAAAAGCCTTACTAAATCTAAGTTAAATAAAATCAATTCTTTATTGTGGTCAACAGCTCAAAAGCTTTACTGGAAGAAAGTTAATAAAATTTGTTAGACAAGACCGGCCTCTTGTGAATCCATGCTGAGTATCATTAAAACAAGCTATGCTTATCGGATGGTTCTTATAATCTCAGCTATAATTGACTCTAGTAATTTGCCTACAATTGAGGTCAGGCTTATTGGGCGGTAATTTGACGGTAACGACTTGTCCCTGTTTTAAAAATAGGAGTTTCATTAGCCATCTTCCAATATCAGACACTACACCTGTTTGAAGAGATAAATTAAAAATATTAGTTAATGGTTCACAGAGTTCCATTTTGCATTCCCTTAAGAACCCCTTTAAAAAAACCTCATCAGGGCCCGGAGACTTATTTTGCTTCAGTCTGTCTATCTGCTTCACAACCACTCACTAGTGACTGTGATGTTACATAATTTATCTTCTTCTACCCCACTGTAATATTAATTACTGGAATTTTTGTTAGTGTTTTTCCTGTTTTAAAACTGAGAGAAAATAATTATTTAAAATCAAGCAATTTCATTTCTTGTCAGTAAGGTGCCCATAGTTATTTTTAAGGGGACCTATCTTATCTCTAACTTTTGTTCTATAGACCTGGAAAAAAATTTTTGGGTTAGTTTTTAGAATCCCTAGCAACTTTAATTTCTAGTCCCTTTTAGCTTTTCTTATCCCTTTTTAATGTCCCTTTAATGTCAATTACTGTTCATAAGATGACCCTCACCTCTTTTGATACGCCTATAAATTCCTTTCTTATGCCCTAGTAGATATTTGAGCCTATTATTATCCATTTTGGGTCATTTCTATTTGATCTAATTTCTTTATATGGGATAAACGCTCTTTGAGCAGCATGTATAGTGTTCAGAAAATGTCATATTGATAGCTCTCTTCGTTACCCCAGTCAACAATGATAAGTGTTCTCTAAGCCCATGTAATTTGCTAAGCGGAAAATCTGGGACTGTTACTGAGTTATCGCTCTATCGTACTTCCATTCAATGCTAAATGTAATTGATTTTTGGGCGCTAGCACCCAGTTCCTCTGAAATTTCTAAATTATTTTAAAAAGGGATTCATTTTTTGCCATAACTAAGTCAAGCAGGTTATTTCCCCTTGTGGTTCTGTTCACAAACTGCTTCAAAAAACAATCCTGAAATACTTCTAAGAAGTCGTATGATTCTAAATTCCCAGTCAAGAAATTCCAATCAAAATGACTAAAGTTAAAGTCTCCTAGAATTACTACATTATCGTGCCCTTTTGGCCCTTTAAAAATTTCCTCCCATAGTAGTTTCCCTTGGTCCCTATCTAAGTTTGGGGGACGGTATATCACTCCTAAAATCAGTTTTTCATGCCCCTCTGAAAAATTTTATCCAAACAGACTCTGTATGTGTTACTTCAGACTTAATACCCGTTTTTATGCAACAGTTCAAGCGATCTCGGACATACAATGCCAACCCCACCCCCCTCCCAATACTTCTATTTCTTGGAACAATTTTTTAACCTGAATATGACATTCCGCAGGCATGTCCCGACTTTTTGAATTAAACCACGTCTCAGTTAAGGCAAATACATCAATGTTACCTACACTAGAACTAATCTCAACTCGTCCCTCTTATTCCTTAGCACTACGGCAATTAGCTAATAAACATTGAAAGACTCTCCTTTTCTTTACCCTTCCTGCTCATTTCTTTTTTTCTACTAAACCTATTACTCCCCTTTATACCCAAGGCCCGGGCTTTTCAATATTATCTTGTTCTTATTATTACTATTTCCCCCAGAACTCAAAAATTTACTACACTGGGACTTCACTTTTTTCCTGCCAAAACCCATACCATAACTATTCCTATTTTAAAAGCCCTAACTGCCCCCCCCCACTGCAGTTCCAGTCCCCCCCAACCCACACCTAGAAAAGGGAAACCCCCATCCCTAGCATACTGCATTTTCCCAAAGAAGAGCCCCATTTGCAATGAATGTTACCGCATTTTTTTAAGTATTTGTCCAGCCAGAAATTTGGGCCCCAATTCCCCCTGGACAACCTTTCTTTTCCAACCCCCCTCCTTGCAAAATACCACTTTGAGGGGTTCCCCCCCTTATTTAATTATTCTATTGCTGCCCTTACTGCAAATCAGGTCCTCACTCCTAGTCTGCCAACACTTTGCCCCCAGCACTGAGAAGATAATAGGTTGCCCCCTTACTCTCTGTGTCATCCAGACGGCTAAAAATTTCCCTCCATCCAGCCCAGGAAAGCAAACTCTGTCTCTACCCTTTTCCTTCAAGCAGTAGCCTATCCATATACCTAACTTGGCTTTCCCCCCCCCCAAAAATATTCTTACCTTCCTTATGTTTTTCGTCGTGATTTCCCCAGTGTGACTATTCGGGGGGAGCACTGAGAATTTTTGGAGTTTCCACAACAGTTTTTCCCGGCAGTTTTTCTTTTCATTTTTCTACTTTCCATTCTCTTCTGATGTCAACTTTTTCCTGCTGTCAGCACTGCCATTTTCCCCTTCTTGACCTGAGGACTAAAAAACAGGGGAAATATCCGATCTTTTTTTTTTTTCCCCCTGGTCCAGTCGCCGAATTTCCATATTCGCAACCTCAATTTTCCTTAAGCTTTTGGAAAAAGTTGCTGTGGAGGGCATCTTGCTTAAATTCTGAGAGAGCGCAAACAGGTTTCATAGACCCAAGTACCGTCAAACCCCCTTGTCATCCACAATCTACATTTGTCTTACTCAAATTTCTTTCAATAAAAACCCCTACCGTACACTTTTCCTGGTTTACTCAAAAAACTTATTCCCTATAATTTTTCAATCCTTTTGTCCCCTTCCCTTTTAAAAGGGGGGAATATAATGCTCTCCGTCAACCCCTGGTACCTTCCCCTCTTTCATCTTTATTAAAAAAAAAATACCAACCACTCCAACACTATATCCCCCCTGCTTTTAAAATTTTTTTTATGATCCATCAGTTCCAGCGCTTTCCCCCCTTTCATTCTCCGTAAGCCTCACTACCCCCCCCCAAACTTACATCGGCTCTTCACTCCTAAAAGATGGTATACCCCCCTGGCCCAGTGCTTTGAAATTACCGCCTCCTTTTTCCTCAACATTTAAAATTTCCTCAAAATTTCTCGCCATTTACCAAATACCTCACTCTTCCCCATCTACAAATCCCCACTTTTTTTTAAAACTGAAAATCCATGTTCCTGGCTTTCTTTTTAAAACCACTAAAAAATTTTTTTTTTAAAAAATTTCTTGACAGTGCCTCTCCCATTTATCTCTGCTTCCTTTTGCACCTTACACTCTTTCACCTTTTCTTTTATCTCATATACTTGTTTCTTATAAACATTTTTGCTTTGTAAAAACCTCTATAAGCTAACTTTTTCTTTTTTACACACCCTTTACTTCAAAATTCCCCCAATCCTCCTCTTTCCTCTGCCCCACCCTCTATAACCAAAAACTTCTGCCCACATTCTAACACTGCAATTTTAAAACTCGCCCAAACCCCTCTTAAACCCCCCCCATATCATCTTTGCACTAGCCCACGTTTCTCCCAAATAGTCATTTATATTCCCCCAAATTCCTCCTCCCTTAGTTTATACACTTTCACTTCCCTCCTAGGCAAAAAAAAAGTAGAAGATCAAAGTTTTTTTTTTTTACACTTTTCAAATGTAAAAAAAGAAAAAAAGATCTATTTTTTTTTTTTTTTACCACTTTAAAATTTTTTGAAAAAACGTGGTCTACTTTTGGGGACGGGGTTTTAAGGGGTTTAAGTTTGAAGGGTAAATTATAAGAATACAATTTGTTTTTTTATGTACACATTAAAAAAAAATTTAAATGAAATATAATCATTTACCTAAAAAAAGTAAAGCATTTCCTGCCATATACTCAATAAAATTTTTTTATTAATAATACTTTACTCCAAATTGTTTTGTAAAACTACTGAAAAAAATGACAAAACTTTAAATATAAAAAATGCTCTTTTTTTTTTTCAGTATTTGTTTTTGAAGTGGCACCAAAAACCAAAAAAACTACTCTTAAAAAACCAGTGAAAGAAATTTTAATTTTTCTTATTTTATGGGCAGGGGCTGTATTTTCACGAGGTCTTTAAAACTTTGTTTTTTAATTCGACCAAGACTCCTACAAACTTTTGGGTGTAAAATACTATGGTTCCATGAGCCCAATTTTGGTTATTATTAAGCACCAATATTTTTTTTTTTGAGGTCTTTCATTGCAGCTTTAATGTCATTTACCTCGTGCAGATGTGATGGATGCCCCCGTTTTTTCTTTCGAGGGAAATTCTGAAAAGCAAGTTGATCAATTTCAATGAATGAAAATTAAAGTAAAAAATGCACAATACGACTTTATGTGTATGTACAGTGATCCCAAAAACACATGCTTTTATTACCCAAAATTAAACCAAATCCCTGGTCTTTCTGGGGATTTCTCTTATTAATATAATGGATTAAAGCAATATTGAAGAAAACCTTAAACTTTAAACAGAATTTAATTACAGTAGACTGTCATTTTAAAACCCGGGGTTTTGTTCCTGAAAAGGCGTGTTAGGTAAAAAAAAAAAATGTTTGATGAATGAAGAACTTATGGGGAAATAGGGGGTTTCATTCCCGAGAGCCCCCAAAAAAACCCCAAACTGAAAAGTGTTAAATTAATTTTACGATGTTACTTAAAAATGTGCCACAATTCTTCAATCGTGCTATACCAAATTTTGCCAAAAAAAACTTGTGCTAAAGATTAGTATATAGAAATTTATGGTTTTTCTGAATTACGAATTTTTTGAAAATTTTATAAAATACGTTTCTGGCATTAATTTAACAACTGTATGTACATTATTCAGCAAGTTGAACATGTTCGCTTAGTTCTTTTGACCCAAGTTAAATTGGTACCCATACAGTATGAGTAACTCGCAATTTAATCTTTAATTTTAAAAGTTCTCCAACCTACCCTTGTAATTTTGGCCCTTTTAAAAAGTTGTTGCTAAAAATATAACATCCAATAACATCTTAAAAAATATTACCTTAACTACAAGGAGAACTACCAGTAGCCAAGTTTTGTTTGTTGAGTTTGTCTTTCCCAGTATGTCGTGTCAAAAAGCTCTAGTGCTCAAACATATGACTTGACCTATCTTTTCCCATGCCTCTTTTCATTCTTTGCACAAACTGTTTTTTGACTTTCTCCTAACCTCTTCACCTGACCTGTTGTGTTTTTTTTCCCCTCAGTCGTAACTCTGCCATGATGAAGCAAATGTCAAACCCCAGAGTCCCCCCACCCCCCCAAAATTTGATTTTTAAAACAAAATGTGAATTTCTATATGATTTCAGGTTTGAATTAGTACTTTTTTCCAGTACTGCTCTCACTTTTTGAAAAAAATCTAGACATTTATGAACAAATAATTTTAGTGGGAAGAAGCAAGGCTGGCTAGCCTTTCTGTAGTGCTTTTAGATAAAAGCTCCTAATTTTAATTAAATTTGTAGGGAAAAAAATAGTTCATATAAACATGTTAACCCTGCCCTATTATTAACGCTACTGATGACATCCCCTATCAACCCCCTAAACCGCTAAAATGTTGTTAGGGTCATTGTTCTAATGAATAATGGCCCTACCCTGAAAATTTAAAAAACAGTGGACCTCGCCAACGATGGATCATCTAAAGTAAAACCGACTAGCGATACATTTTAATGCAAAAATTTTGCCTCGACTAGCGCTAAAAAACTCTACCAACACGATTTGTTCCGTTCAAGAAACCCTCCATTGTGGCCTGAGGTGCCTCACTTAACCCCTGGGTGCCAGTGTTTATAAACCAGCAGCCAGCCCCGCGGTCCCCCCAAAAATACAAAAGGAAAAAATTTTATATTATCACAGCGTTTTTAGTGATTGCACCTGCAAAATAAGTCACACAAAAGGACACAAGTGCAACTAATGTGACATTTATTGTGGCAATGTTTCGCTCTCCAGGAGCTTTATCAAGCCAGGTGCTTGATAAAGCTCCTGGAGAGCGAAACGTTGCCACAATAAATGTCACATTAGTTGCACTTGTGTCCTTTTACTTTACATATTATCGGTAATTCTACCAACTTTATTACAAAATAAGTCACCATGGGCCCCAAGAAAGCTTCTAGTGCCAACTCGACAGCAAAAAGGGCGAGAATTACTATGGATATGAAGAAAGAGATCATTGCTAAGTATGAAAGTGGAGTGCGTGTCTCTGAGCTGGCCAGGTTGTACACAAAACCCCAATCAACCATCGCTACTATTGTGGCCAAGAAAACAGGCAATCAAGGAAGCTCTTCTTGCCAAAGGTGCAACTATGTTTTCGAAACTGAGATCACAAGTGATAGATGATGTTGAGAGACTGTTATTGGTGTGGATAAACGAAAAACAGATAGCAGGAGATAGCATCTCTCAAGCGATCATATGTGAAAAGGCTAGGAAGTTGCATGACGATTTAATTAGAAAAATTCCTGCAACTAGTGGTGATGTGAGTGAATTTAAGGCCAGCAAAGGTTGGTTTGAGAGATTTAAGAATCATAGTGGCATACATAGTGTGATAAGGAATGGTGAGGCTGCCAGTTCGGACCAAAAATCAGCTGAAAAATATGTGCAGGAATTCAAGGAGTACATAGACAGTGAAGAATTGAAACCTGAACAAGTGTTTAATTATGACGAAACAGGCCTGTTTTGGAAGAAAATGCCAAGCAGGACCTACATTACTCAGGAGGAAAGGCACTCCCAGGATATCAGCCTATGAAAGACAGGCTTACTCTGTTGATGTGTGCTGATGCATGGTTACACCATGCATTTGCCCCCACTGTGAAAAATTACCTCCTGGAAAATAAATTGGACCTTAAGTGCCTCCTGGTATTAGACAATGCTCCTGGTCATCCTTCAGACGTGGAAGAGCGACTTTCTGCGGAAATGAGCTTCATTAAGGTCAAGTTTTTGCCTCCTGATACCACTCCTCTCCTGCAGCCCATGGACCAGCAGGTCATTACAAACTTCAAAAAACTCTACACAAAAGCTATGTTTGAAAGGTGCTTTGTAGTGACCTCAGAAACTCAACTGACTCTAAGAGAGTTTTGGAGAGATCACTTTAGCATCCTCAATTGTGTAAACATGATAGGTAAGGTTTGGGAGGAAGTGACTAAGAGGACCTTGAACTCTGCTTGGAAGAAACTGTGGCCAGAATGTGTAGACAAAAGGGATCTTGAAGGATTTGAGGTTAACCCCCCTGAGAAGTGTATGCCAGTTGTGGAATCAATTGTGGCATTGGGGAAGTCCTTGGGGTTGGAGGTTAGTGGGGAGGATGTGGAAGAGTTGGTGGAGGAGGACAATGATGAACTAACCACTGATGAGCTGCTAGATCATCTTCAACAGCAAGAGGCCGGGCCTGAGGAAACTGCTCCGGAGGAGGAGAGAGAGAAATTGAGGAAGCTGGCTACTTCAAAGATTAAGGAAATGTGTGCAATGTGGCTTAAAGTACAAACCTTTTTTGATGAAAATCACCCTCACACAGCTATTGCAAGCTGTGCTGGTGACTATTACACTGACAATGTTGTGAAACGCTTTAGGAATGTCATAAAGGAATGGGAGATAAAGGCCTCTATGGACAGATATGTTGTGCGACAGAGGTCCAGTGACTCTCAAGCTGGTCCTAGTGGCATTAAAAGAAGAAGGGAAGTAACCCCAGAAAAGGACTTGACACCTCAAGTCCTAATGGAAGGGGATTCCCCTTCTAAACACTAACACCATCCACACTCTCCCCTCCTCCCATCCCATCAATCATCACCAGATCTTCAATAAAGGAAAGTGTCATGTAATTGTACATGTCTTCTTCAGTTTGTGTAATAAAATTAATATTTCATGTGGTAAAATTTTTTTTTTCAATACTTTGGGGTGTCAGAAACGAATTTGATTTCCAATATTCCTTATGGGGAAAATTAGCTCTACTAACGATAATTTCGACTAACAATGAGCTCTCAGGAACGGATTAATATCGTTGGTCGAGGGTCCACTGTATTGTAAAGTCAAAATAATTGTCAGTACCTCCACTGTATTGTAAAGTCAAAATAATTGTCAGTACCTTAATATGAACTGTTTACCTGAATGGGACTATTCTCTCCGAATGGATGCAGCAGTTCAAGTTTTGCATTGTCCAGCTTGACAAATACTGTGTATACCCCATGGTCTGGAAGAGCTTGTATGTCGCTCACCTCTGCACCCAGCACATCTCTTTACCAATAAGAACATGCATTAGTACTGAGCATAGGAAAAGTACCCAGTATTTTAAACAAAATCACAGTAAATAGAATCAGTAAATTTAGTTTTGTGAAAAGAGAAGTTTTTGGGCTCGATGCAATACTAAAATAAAAATATTCACTTGCATGCATGCATGCATGCTAACCCCTTCACACAAGCACACAATACAACAATCAATAATTCTACAATAGGCTAAAATACCTAGTATCATTTAGAAGGCCCATCTTTGGGGAAAATTTTATCTGAGGAATTTAAATGTATGGCACAGTTAAATTACAAGTTCTCTCTTTTATCACACCCTTTACTTCATCATTCCTCTTTCCTCCTGTGCCCACCCTCCTATAGCTACAAACTTCTGCCCCACATTCTAATATGTACTGTATTTTTAAAACTATTCCAACCCTCTTCAACCCCCCCCCCCACTACTCATACTTGCACTAGCCCACTTTTCTGCTAGTAGTTGCTTATATCTCACCCTAACTTCCTCCTCCCTTAGTTTATACACTTTCACCTCTCTCTTGTTGCCATTTTCCTTTTGTCCCATCTACCTCTTACTCTAACTGTAGCTACTTATTTATCCTCTTTTTTCATAAAATATGTATTACTTATTACCAAACCTCTTTCTACACATAACTCAATTAAAGGCTCCCCATTTTCATTTACCCCTGGCACCCCAAATTTACCTACTACTCCCTCTACAACATTTTTACCCACTTTAGCATCGAAATCCCCAACCACAAGTATTCTCACACTTGGTTCAAAACTCCCCACGCACTGAACATTTCCCAAAATCTCTCTCCTCTACACTTGTCTCTTCTTCAGGTGCATAAATGCTTACTATAACCCACTTTTCACATCCAACCTTTATTTTACTCCATATAATCCTTGAATTTATATTCCCTCTTTTCCTGCCATAACTTATCCCTTCAACATTATTGCTACTCCTCCTTTAACTCTAACCATTTAAAACTCCTGATCTAATCCCATTTATTTCTCCCCACTGAAACTCTCCCACCCCCTTCAGCTTTGTTTCACTTAAAGCCAGGACATCCAGTTTCTTTTCATTTGTAAAAATCATCTCTTTTTATCATTCACACAACATCCACACACATTCAAACATCCCACTTTGACGGTTTTCTTTTTTTCTTTTTAGTAGGGTATACAGGAAAAGGGGTTACTAGCCCACTGTTCTCGGCATTTTAGTTGACTTTTACAACATGCAGGAGGAAAGATTATTATTCCACTTCCCCATGGATATGAAAGGAAAAGCAATGAGAACACGGACTATTAAGATAAAATCAAAGAAAACTCAGATGAGTGTGTATACATAAACGTGTACATGTACGTGTGGTGTGACCTAAGTGTAAGTAGAATTAGCAAGACGTACCTGAAATCTTGAATGTTTATGAGACAGAAAAAAGACACCCGCAATTGTTTTACACTCACTTGGCAGGACGGTAGTACCGCCCTGGGTGGTTGATGTCTACCAACCTACTATCTATAACTAAATGTACAAAATGGCCTTGTATAAAAAAATTTAGCATAAAAAGAAAATCACTAGTATTCCCTGAACAAATCAGAAAAAAACATACTTCTACCAAAAAATTATGAGTATAGTACGTATATCAGATTGGTATACGGCTATATGGTGCCTAACAAATGCAACTGGTAAAAAAAAAAAAAAATCCCTTTTCCCTCCACCATCAACCAACGAGCCTATCTGTCTGGTTTAAAGTGCACACGTGCTAAGATACTCAAGATGAAGAATAACAATAGGTTTTCATTCAAGATATGTTACCAGATTTATTTTTATATTTTATTTTATTACCACACTGGCCGATTCCCACCAAGGCAGGGTGGCCCGAAAAAGAAAAACTTTCACCATCATTCAGTCCATCACTGTCTTGCCAGAAGGGTGCTTTACACTACAGTTTTTAAACTGCAACATCAACACCCCTCCTTCAGAGTGCAGGCACTGTACTTCCCATCTCCAGGACTCAAGTCCGGCCTGCCGGTTTCCCTGAACCCCTTCATAAATGTTACTTTGCTCACACTTCAACAGCACGTCAAGTATTAAAAACCATTTGTTTCCATTCACTCCTATCAAACACGCTCACGCATGCCTGCTGGAAGTCCAAGCCCCTCGCACACAAAATCTCCTTTACCCCCTCCCTCCAACCTTTCCTAGGCCGACCCCTACCCCGCCTTCCTTCCACTACAGACTGATACACTCTTGAAGTCATCTGTTTCGCTCCATTCTCTCTACATGTCCAAACCACCTCAACAACCCTTCCTCAGCCCTCTTGACAACAGTTTTGGTAATCCCGCACCTCCTCCTAACTTCCAAACTACGAATTCTCTGCATTATATTCACACCACACATTGCCCTCAGACATGACATCTCCACTGCCTCCAGCCTTCTCCTCGCTGCAACATTCATCACCCATGCTTCACACCCATAGAGCGTTGGTAAAACTATACTCTCATACATTCCCCTCTTTACCTCCAAGGACAAAGTCTTTGTCTCCACAGACTCCAAAGTGCACCACTCACCCTTTTCCCCTCATCAATTCTATGATTCACCTCATCTTTCATAGACCCATCCGCTGACACGTCCACTCCCAAATATCTGAATACATTCACCTCCTCCATACTCTCTCCCTCCAATCTGATATCCAATATTTCATCACCTAATCTTTTGGTTATCCTCATAATCTTACTCTTTCCTGTATTCACTTTTAATTTTCTTCTTTTGCACACCCTACCAAATTAAGCCACCAATCTCTGCAGCTTCTCTTCAGAATCTCCCAAGAGCACAGTGTCATCAGCAAAGAGCAACTGTGACAACTCCCACTTTATGTGTGATTCTTTATCTTTTAACTCCACGCCTCTTGCCAAGACCCTCGCATTTACTTCTCTTACAACCCCATCTATAAATATATTAAACAACCACGGTGACATCACACATCCTTGTCTAAGGCCTACTTTTACTGGGATATAATTACCCTCTTTCCTACATACTCTAACTTGAGCCTCACTATCCTCGTAAAAACTCTTCACTGTTTTCAGTAACCTACCTCCTACACCATACATTGCCCCCCTATCCACCGTCATACGCCTTTTCCAAATCCATAAATGCCACAAAGACCTCTTTAGCCTTATCTAAATACTGTTCACTTTTATGTTTCACTGTAAACACCTGGTCCACACACCCCCTACCTTTCCTAAAGCCTCCTTGTTCATCTGCTATCCTATTCTCCGTTTTACTCTTAATTCTTTCAATAACAACTCTACCATACACTTTACCAGGTATACTCAACAGACTTTTTTTTTTTTTTTTTTTTTTCAACAAGTCGGCCGTCTCCCACCGGGCAGGGTGACCCAAAAAAGAAAATCCCCGAAAAGAAAATACTTTCACCATCATTCAACACTTTCACCACACTCACACATTATCACTGCTTTTGCAGAGGTGCTCAGAATACAACAGTTCAGAAGCATATACGTATAAAGATACACAACATATCCCTCCAAACTGCCAATATCCCAAACCCATCCTTTAAAGTGCAGGCATTGTACTTCCCATTTCCAGAACTCAAGTCCGACTATATGAAAATAACCGGTTTCCCTGAATCCCTTCACTAAATATTACCCTGCTCACACTCCAACAGATCGTCAGGTCCCAAGTATCATTCGTCTCCATTCACTCCTATCTAACACGCTCATGCACACTTGCTGGAAGTCCAAGCCCCTTGCCCACAAAACCTCCTTTACCCCCTCTTTCCAACCCTTTCGAGGACGACCCCTACCCCTCCTTCCTTCCCCTATAGATTTATATGCTTTCCATGTCATTCTACTTTCATCCATTCTCTCTAAATGACCAAACCACCTCAACAACCCCTCTTCTGCCCTCTGACTAATGCTTTTAATAACACCACACCTTCTAATTTCCACACTCCAAATTTTCTGCATAATATTTACACCACACATTGCCCTTAGACAGGACATCTCCACTGCCTCCAACTGTCTCCTTGCTGCTGCATTTACCACCCAAGCTTCACATCCATATAAGAGTGTTGGTACTACTATACTTTCATACATTCCCTTCTTTGCCTCCATAGATAACGTTTTTTGACTCCACATATACCTCAACGCACCACTCACCTTTTTTTCCTCATCAATTCTATGATTTACCTCATCCTTCATAAACCCGTCCACCGACACATCAACTCCCAAGTATCTGAAAACATTCACTTCTTCCATACTCCTCCTCCCCAATTTGATATCCAATTTTTCTTTATCTAAATCATTTGATACCCTCATCACCTTACTCTTTTCTATGTTCACTTTCAACTTTCTACCTTTACACACATTCTCAAGCTCATCCACTAACCTTTGCAATTTTTCTTTAGACTCTCCCATAAGCACAGCATCATCAGCAAAAAGTAACTGTGTCAGTTCCCATTTTGAATTTGATTCCCCATAATTTAATCCCACCCCTCTCCCGAACACCCTAGCATTTACTTCCTTTACAACCCCATCTATAAATATATTAAACAACCATCGTGACATTACACATCCCTGTCTAAGACCTACTTTTACCGGGAAGTAGTCTCCCTCTCTTCTACATACCCTAACCTGAGCCTCACTATCCTCATAAAAGTTCTTTACAGCATTTAGTAACTTACCACCTATTCCATATACTTGCAACATCTGCCACATTGCTCCTCTATCCACTCTATCATATGCCTTTTCTAAATCCATAAATGCAATAAAAACTTCCCTACCTTTATCTAAATACTGTTCACATACATGTTTCAATGTAAACACTTGATCTACACATCCCCTACCCACTCTGAAGCCTCCCTGCTCATCCGCAATCCTACATTCTGTCTTACCTCTAATTCTTTCAATTATAACCCTACCGTATACTTTTCCTGGTATACTCAGTAAACTTATTCCTCTATAATTTTTAC